ATACAGATTCAACTAAATGTACAGTCCTCACACCCAATACTACACATAATCTCTATAATTTAACTACTTACTTTTTTAAAACCTCATTTCAAATCTTATCTGCTTCTAAACTTACTTATCCAACTTTAGATAATTCTATCTTTCTATCTAATCAACTTCATACTGCTACTTTCTCTAATACTTTTTCTTTCAAAGATCTTTACAACTTCGCTAACCAAGCAGAACAAAAATTTATTACACTAACCCAAAATTTACTAAGCTTAATAAGCTAAAACTTTCTGAAACAAATATTCAAACCAGCTCTAAACAAATATCATTTTTTTTTACAACTATCTCCAAGCATATTTAAAAATTGTTGCAACTAATAATCAAATTACAGACCTTAATCTTAAAGAAGCACTTAACAAAATTTTTTCTAAATCTACAGATTCACAAACCTTGGCCAGAGTTATCACTTACTATGATCTTACTTAAATCTCTAAACCAACCATTACAACTTTTAATATTATAATTATATTTTTTTAAAAAATATTATTATAATATAATAATTACTAGTTATAAATTTATTGTAGACCTATTATCTAAAAAAAATATTTTAATAAAATTTTAAAAATATTATTTGCTAGTTTTAAATTTATTATCAATTTTTTACAAGTTTTTGTAAAATATTTTAAATTTATTTAATAGGTATTATTTTAGAGTGACCCATTACTATGTTAACTTGTGATCAACTAATCAAAATCAATTATGTGATCGTATGATTTTATTTATTAAAATTTTTTCTTTATTTAAGTATTTAATAATAATAATAATAATAATAAAAGCTAAAAATTAATATCTTATAAACATCATTATACAACAAAAAAATTTTGTTGTATAACAAATGTTGAACCAACAAGTCTATCTCTTTATATTAAAAAACCAACAGTAACAAAAATTCAACAGTATGAAAATAACCAACAAAATCTAATGATAGCTCTAATGATGACTTAAACACAACTTTAATTATGACTCCAACTTCAACTTCAACTTCAACTTTAATTTTGACTCCAATTTCAACTCCAACTTCAATACCAACTTTGATTCCAACTTTGATTTCAACTTTGATTTTAACTTTGATGCAAAAGAAAAAAAAAAGACAAAAACTAAAAGAAAAAAGAGAAAATCTAAAGATAAAAAGAAGAATAAAAGTAAAAAAAAAATGAAAAAATAAAAAAAAATAAAAAAAGAAAACAAAAAAATGAGAAGAACAGAAGAGAAAAAATGAAGCAAAAAAGAGAAAAAACAGAAGAAAAAGAAATGAAAAAAAAATAATGAAGAAAAAAAAAGAAAATAAAAAAAAATAAATAAAAAAAATAAAAAAATGCAAAAAGAAGAAAAAATAAAGAGAAAAACAAAAAAAATAAATAAAATGAAGAATAAAAGAAAAACAAAGAAAAGAATAAAAGGATGAAAAAGAAGTGAAGAAAAGTTATGAAAAAGAAAAAATAAAAAGATAAAAGAAAAAAATAAAGATAAGAAAAAATAAAAAAAAATGAAGAAAAGCAAAAAAAATAAAATAAAAAAATAAAAAATAATAAAAAAACTGAAAAAAAAGTAAGTAGTTAAATTATAGAGATTATGTGTAGTATTGGGTGTGAGGACTGTACATTTAGTTGAATCTGTAT